AGATTTATTAATCCACACTTTGCAGAGGTTCAGTCCATAATCAGCTGGCTCCAAGGCAGGATGGCATGGCAGATGGGCTTCACAGAGGAGAAACAGTTCATGGTAGCCACAAGGTAGCAAAAGCAACAAGGGAACCTTAACGGTGTCTTTCTGTCTTTTTATCTTACCCAGACTACCAGGATTAGGGTGGTATCAAACCAATCAGTGTCTTGGTTTAGTGGTTGCATGACTTTAATCCCTGCACCACACTCTCTAGATTTAGACCCCGCTGGAAAAGCCATCTGTGACTGCATAAGGCTTTGAGGGTTCTGACAAAATGGACCTTTTACAGGTAGAAGAAATGATTCATGAAACCCAGGACAGCAGGAGACACAAGACACCAAAGCCAGAGCCCAAGACACTGAGAAAACCTACTGTAGACAAACATCCTACATATTTTTAAGTTTTAATTTGTGAAGAATGTCTCATATGGAGCCTGGGGCTTAGGACAAGGAGAGTCAGGGAATCTGTCACTGTACAACAAAAATAGAAAACAAAACTTTCATTCTTTTGGTATTTAAGTTTCAGACCAAGATATTTTGCTTTCCACAACTGCCCTAATCACAAATGAAAGATGACTATTTTGCCCTTTAAATACCTAAGGCATTTCCCTGATGCCTGAGAAAAGCCCAAGGACTGGCTGCGTGTGCCCAAACATACTTGGACCCACTGCCCCCACCCCACCCCACTGTGATGCCCTGTTTTCTTTCCTTTGCTCATGCCCACACAGCTCACTTTTGACTGGCTGGAATGGAGCAAAAGAGACAATTTTCAGAAAAGAATGACTCTACTTTCTTATAAGAGCTTCCAGCCTTGTCACACTACTCCATGAGTACATATCGTCATGAGAGTGCAAATCTAATGTTTCTTAAAGAACTTCAAAACTGGAGCCACCTGTCACTTTTAAATCCTAATGATCTCTAAGGCATGCATAGCATGGTTCCCCCAGTGCTGGCACTGAGAGAAGAGAAAGTGGTGTGCTTTAGTTATACCATTTATAAAATCCAGTCTTACTACTCCATTCTAACTCTGCTGTTACAAACTTATGATAGAATGATTATGATTTTTTAGATTAAAACAATCTCTCATCCTTTTAAGATACTTTAGGATGGAATGGATTTTCTGAGATAATGTGTTGGGCAGGTTATGGCATAGGCCGATGTGTGTTTGTAGATCAGACCTTGGGCAGCACAAGGCACAGGGTCCTGAGAGATGGTAGAGTCCAACCCTTCATTTTGGGGGAGGGACTGATACCTAAGCAGGTGAATGATCCACCCAAAGTAAACAGCCAAGATGAAAACTCCTGACCAAGTGCTCCTTTGCCCCAACCCACAGGTCTACACTGAGGGGCTGCATAGAATATCACAGTTCTGTCACGCAAGATGAGGCTGTAGGCAAGACTCTGGGAACCTCAGGCTGAGGACAGCACAGCCTCAAGCTCATGCTTCCCATATGGTGAAAGCGCAAACAAAGGGATCAGGTATCTGATTCAACACAAATACATTTAACCAGGGCACTATCTCTTAGAAGATGCTGGCAACAGTAGTAGGATGTGAACCAAATATTGTGGAATTTCCATTGGCCACATTAAAAAAGTAAAACAAAAACAGGTAAAAGTAGCTTTAAAATTTTAGCTAACCTAAAGTATCTAGACTTTTTATGACTGTAATATACAATCAATATAAAAGTGAGATTCCATGGTAAATTATATTCCCTGGTATCAACAACTGGACCCCTCCAGCCAACCTGCCCACTCTCAATGACACTCAGTTACTGAGGAGTTAACATGCTAGATTCCACCAAAGGCTCTTGATAGAGACTTTGAACTTCCACGGAGGCATTAATAAGGCAGGTTTTCCACAAGGCTCATAAAATAAGAATATATACCAGAGCTAGGCATGGTGGTGCATATCTGTAATTCCAGTAATCAGGAGGCTGAGGCAGGAGGATTCCAAGTTGAAGGCCAACCTAAACTATATAGTGAGTTTCAAGCTACCCTGGACAACATAGTAAGACCCTGTTTCAAAATAAGAGTAATAAAAATAAAACCAAAAACAAATACACAAACAAAAAATCCTCCACCTCCCTAAAAAACAACTCAAACCCAAAACCAACAAGACACACTACACCCCACACCCCCCCATCTCAGGAAATCTTAAGGTTATATAGTTAAGTACCAAGACAGAATGAAACTGAGCTGATGGTTAACACTTGTTCTCTTCCTAGATTCTGTATTTCTGGCCCACCAACTGTCTTAAAAGCGTCACTCTATGAAATACTACGTGTGACAAGGATCTGGAAGATCTAACAGTATACAGTTACATCACCCAAGTAACAAATTTTTCCCAGGCTCAGTGCCAAATTCAGCCTTTTGTGTTTAGTATCATCTATAATACTACAGAGTTTTATATCCTGCTTTATTAAGCAATCATATCACAATCCTTCTCGAGTCATTATTTCCAAACATTTAGACTTAGATGGCCTTAGAGATTTTGATCAAAATATTGCCTAAACACAAATTCTAGCCTAGTCCTCTGTGATCAGTAACTGTGATTGTGAACTTGACTGGACACTTGGTAGATTAGTACAGCACACCTCTGCGGGTGCCTGTAGGTGTTTCTAGAATGACTGGCACATAGGGCTGCAAACTGAAGGGTGAAGACCCACTGTGATTGTGAGTGGCACCATCCAATAGGCTGACAGCCTGCATAGAATGAAAGGGGGGGAACTGACCTGCATTTGAAAAGCTCCATGTTTCTTGAGCAGGTGTGTCTTCTGCTATTGCCACTGCGTGCAGATACTCCAGTTTCTTCAACCTTTCAACGTGGACTCACACTGGTGACTCTCTAGGGAGCTTCTAGATCTTCAGTCTCAGATTGGCACTGCATCACTGATGACTCTTATTCGGCAGATTACAGATTCTTGAACTGAGTAGCTAGTGGATCCTCTGGCTCTCCAGCATGCAGACACTGTGGACGCTCTTGTAAGCCTATCTCATAATCCCTTTTCATAATTTTATATATATATATATATATATATATATTTCTTCCTTTTCTTATTGACTGATCCTCTAGAGAACTCTAACCAATACACCCTCCCTTCAAACATTCCAAAAATTCTGTGCAGCTATGGATTTGGACTCTTTTGGGTGTTGGGGAGAAATTATAAATATAACAGATAGGGTCTTTGCCTTCACATGACATATTACAGAAGGAAAGATAGATAATAAATATACAGTGTCAGGAACAAACAGATAAGCAAAAAGGCAGGGTGGGTGGCATATACTGATTTTAGACTACTTCCATTATTAGGCTGAACCACTTGAGACTGCTGATATTCAATTATGTCCACACAATAGGCATTTTTATATAACTCAACCTAATTATTTCATCCCATCAGGAAGTAGTTAAGAATGCTTCCAGTTTATAGCCAACACAAAGGACAGGGGAAGACACTAACTAGCACTTCACGATGCCATCAGTAAAATCCAGAATATGGGAAGATGCTATGGGACAAAAAGGAAAAAAGGAGACCACCAGACCACAAGGCTTATCATATGTATCTGTAGACCATCTCTGTGTCTTTAAAAAACAAATATTTTTTCATGAGACAAAAGGGAAAAGGAGAACACTGCCTAGATATCTACAGAAATATTAATTTATGGTCTTTACAAAATTGTGTATGTTTGAAAATCTCATACTGTGAAAAGACAGCATACAAACTGGAGGAAAAGTATCTACAAGCCACATATCTCATAATGAGCTAATACTCAAAATATATAAGGGTATTATAATATATCATACACACCTCAAGAGCAAGAAAACAACCTGATTAAAAAATGGGCAAAGACCCTTGATAGATATTCCTCAAAAGAACATATACAACTGGTCAATAGGCATGTAAGAAAATGTTCACCATCACTAATCATCAAGGAAATGGAAATTAAAATTGAGATATCATCTCACACCTTTTAGGATGGCAATTATCAAAAAGACAAAATATACATATTGGCAAGGATATGGAGAAAAGGTGGGAATGGAAATCAGTACAGTAATTATGGAAAACTATACAGATGTTCCTCAAAAACTAAAAATATAAACTACCATATGATCCAGGAACCGTACTTCTGGGTGTACATCCAAAGAAAATGAAATCAGTATGCTGAAGAGACACAATATGCCAATATTTATAGCAGCATTACTCACAATAGCCAAGATGTGCAATCATCTATGTGTCCCTCAACAGATGACTGGATAAAGAAAACGTGACACAAATACACAAAGGAATACTATTAACACCATTTCCACTGACTTGAACCACTGGTGGTACATGCACGACTATCCCATCAGGTGGCTTGTATCTCTGGTGGTAGAAGTGGTGCAGTCATGCATGGGACAGTCATGCATGTACCACCAGTAGTTCAAGATGCCCAGCAGTGAGATATATGAACTGCAAACACATTGTGAACATGTTAGACACAAAAAACTGTAATATGTGATGAAACAAATGAACTTGGGAGTATATTAAGTGAAATAAGCCAGAAACACATGTTTGGAATCTAAAAATGTCAAACTCATAGGAGTAGAATGTAAAATAGTGCTTACCAGAGGTTGGAGAGATGTTGGTTAAAGTTTTTGAGATTTACTGTGCAGTATGATTATAATTAATAACAATATAGTATATATTTCAAAATTGCTAAGAAAATAAATGTTCTCACCACCAAAATCGATAAGTGAGATGTTAATTAGTTGATTAATCACTTTAATCATTGTACAATGTATATATATAACAACATCAAATTGTACTCCATCAACCTATACAATTATTATTAAACAAAATGAGAAAAAATAAAGGTCTGTGCCCTTCCTGCCTGCAGGGAAACCTGTGGTTCTCAATATATCATCCATCCATGCTTAGATGATCAGCTGTAAAAACCTAAAGCATTTTACATGACTACTCACCTGTCAATGAACTGATCGATAATGACGATGTCACCAGGCTGAATCTCTTCCCTCAAGGAGCCACAGGCAGTGGTCACTATGATGTGTGTACAGCCCTCTTCCTTCAAAGCCCAGATGTTTGCCTGGTAGTTTACTTTTGAAGGCATGATGGTGTGCTGCCTCCCATGTCTAGGGGAAGGAGAATTACATGGCAGATGAATGACCAAGGCATTTTAATACAGTTAGAAAACTAATTTACTCAGCCATAAAGAATGAGAAGCTATAGACATTTATAGCTAAATGGATGCATATTGAGGCCATACTCATAAGTGAAATAAATAGAACACACATGTGTAAATACTGAAGTTTCTCTAGTGTGAGAAACTGAAAGTGTAAATAAGAATTAAAATGGTTAAAGTGAATAACTGATAACTTGAAATAGGAAGAAGAGGTCCAAAGGGGTAGGGGTGGTGGGAGGGGAAGGGGGAAGCAAAGGAGGGAAAGGAAAAATTATGAGAAAAGAAAAAAAATGGAAACAAAGTCTATGTAAATAGGGAAGGGTGGAGGGGGTGAAAGGCCTACAGGTTAATGGGGGAACAAATAAGAACCAAGATACATCATGTACAGGTACGAGCACCCAATGATAAATGTAAATGTATTGTTTACCTAAAATGTACCAAAAAAGAATTTAAGGAAAAAAACAAAAAACAAAAAACTAATTTAGTGATGTTTTCCAGCTTTTTCCACTATGGTACTTCTACTGGCATAGAACAATGAGAATTCAGGCAATAACCAGTCTACAATAAGCACAAACCATTTCATCTTAAAAGCAGGCCAGCTTTATATTTTATATACTTATTCTCCTACCAAGTGTTCGGTAACTTACCTAGAATTCACATTCTGGGAAGATGTACTGTGTCTATCTTGCGGACACAAACAGCCTCCTGATGAGGTATCTGGTGTGACATGTGCCATGAAATAAAATACACAGACATGTGTTCCCACTGACACTCTCCATCCCTTTCTGCCTGGTTACTCAAATAAGCTAATGAAAACTTTTAAAATATGAGAGCTCCTAGTCATTTAGGAATGACATTAACATTCCTTTTGTCCAAGAATCGATCACCTTACTCATGACCACAATTGAGGTCTCAACTGTGTCCTACCAAAATTCCTATGTTAAAGACTCAACCAACATCCCTACTTCGAAATGTGACTTCAAAATTTGCAGAGGATCTCTACAGAGGTAATTAAGTTAAAATGAGGTCAATAGTGTGGGCTCTAATATCCTAACACTAGTGTCTTCAAGCAAAGGGGGAATTTAGACAGATGCTACAGAGGTTAGGGGGTGTGGAGACAGAGAAAAGAAAACCATCTATAAGCCAAGGAGGGAGCCCTGGAACAGACTCCCCCCATCCTCAGAAGGAATCAACTCTGCCAAACACCTTGGTTGAAGAGTTCTAGCCTCCAGAACTGTGAGTAAATAAATTTCTGTTCAGGAAGCCAGCCAGTGTGTGATACTGTAATAGTAGTTCCAGCAAATCAGTTTAACCACCAGTGATTTCCTACCAGACTTAAAAACCCAACATCACACCAGAGACCCAACCTCATCTGGGCCTTGGCACACTAGTGCAACCTCAAGTCATACCTTTATCCTTCCTAACTCAGGACTCATTAGCCTTGTTGCTCATCCTTGTTTGTTCCTGCTCAGGCCTCTGATCTCCTCTCCAAGAGGTACTGCCTATGACTACTGCTTCTACATCATATTACCATCCCCTGAACTTATTTTTTCCTTTTAGAGCCTCTTAGTATCTCAAACTATGTGTTTTCTTTTAGCATCCACCTTTCCAGCCAGAATTAGCTCTGAGGACAATGTCTGTGTTCCTCACTGGTACCTACAAGGGGACACCTGCCACATAAGCACTTCAATTTGTTGGACAAACAAATGTGCATGGCTAAAATTCTTAGAGTACTTGTAAGACACAAGTGTGTGCACACACACGCCAAGACAGACAGACAGACAGACAGACAGACACACACACCTGCAAAAACCACCCAAAGGACCTCCAGGAAACAGCTAGTTAAAAGAACTCAATTTCTGAAATTATTTTTTAAAAATTCACATGTGTTACACGACATACTTATAAGCAGTATTTTATAAAGAGGCCTAAAACTATTCCAGGCTGCTTAAAAACTAAACACATGTAATGTTCTGCCACAGAAAGGTACTGTCAAGAGCCAAGTTTCCTATTAGCTGTGATAATTTAGAAGTATGCTCTTAAGCAAGTAACAGCACACAAAACCTTGCTCTGTTCAAAGGTGATTAAAAGTTGGGCCTTTGCTTTTGTTTTGCCTTATATATTTTATTTTTGGTGGTAACACTAAAAATGTATTGTAAGTATGCATATATATTTGAATATCCATATACATTGTTCATATTCTCACTTGCATATTTAGAAATCTAGAAATACATCCAAACATTGAAAAAAAAAGTCTGAGTTTTCAAGAGAAATTGGTAGTCAAATCTGTACCATTTACTAGTCCTGTAACTACCAAAATCACTCAGCTCTCTTAGCCTAGTTTTTTAAATCTACAAAGCAGAAAATGAAATATCTGTTATAGAGTTTGTTACTAAGTATCCCTTGTTATCATCACCAACCACAGAAGTTTTTGGAGCATCAAAGTAATTGCAGATGCACATAGAATGTGGGGTTTCTCTCCTGGGTTCATGGGTGATCTATCAGAAGGTGGGGGACCATTTATAGTCAGAAAGTATATATGAATTTTTCTGAAGCTAGTCTCCAAAACTCTGATTAGATTTTCAAAATAAATTAAAAAATCAAAAGCAGTGCAGAACCCAGTGCACTGGAGGTTCAAACATTTTACAGTAGTACTACTACACAGTCCAGTTTGGAAGTATGAAACCCCCACCATTAAATCACACTACTATGCTTCCTCCTATAGCTTAGAAAAATTTAGCAGTTCTCTTAGCAGTGACCATGGACCAATAAAAGAGGTTGTCTTGAATCTACTCTGAGTGATCAACTAAAACTAAAATTTAGTTTTGTTGGATTCCAAAAAACTACCTCTAATTCAAAAATGTCAGACAGACCTTTGTGAGGCCCCCTTTCCAATCCCTGTACAGAGTGTGGTGGGCCCAGGATTCATTTCCACCCATTAGAACACAGCTAAGCTGTTGGAAGTTGCTCCATTGACCAGGTGCTACCTCGATGGCAGGCCCTAGAGGCCCTCCTGGCTTTGCAACAGCTGTGATGGCGTGAGGTACTGCAGCCAGGCCATATGGCCTCTCACAATTGGAGGCTTCAGTCCTATAACTCTGAGAGACTGAATTTAGTTAACAACTCCAGGAGTTTGAACAAACACCTGGAGCTCCAGATGAGAACCAGGCCTTGAAAACATTGTGTGACCTAAGAGACCCAAGCAGATGACCTCGCAAACTGCACCAGATTCCTGTCCCAGGAGTTACTATCTGCTATTTTAAGCAGCTAAATTTGTGGTACTATGCAACACGGCAGTAGAAAACAATTGACTAATTTCTTAGCTATGTGATAAAAATGATGTCACCTCCTCCACAACAGGGGCCAGCACTAGCCTTATAGAGAAGACAAGGGTGTTAACACTATAAGTAACCTAGTTCAGGGTCCTTAAGCCTGCTCCCTACAAACATACAACTATTACTACACAAGGGGTAAGGGAGGAAGTACTCGTTTTTCTTTGTCTTGATAATTACAAGAAAAAATAAGCAAAGGAAATCATTTCTTCTTGCAGAGCTTCAATTTTAGTTAACTGAGCTGCCTTCCCACTCTCAGGGGGTGGTGGAAAGTAAAGAGATCATTGATCTCCTAAGTAAGTCTACCTTACCCCAAAGCCACACATGGTAAATAAAGGCGACTAAGATGTTCTAAGTCCATGACACATGAAAATTTACACCTGGATCATTTCTTTTTCTAGAATTTAAGTTAAATTTAAATTCTCCTTTAGTAGCCATCTTCAAAAAGTTTGAAATACCTTACCTTGCAAGGAGGACGCAATCAACATTTTTTATCTTCCCCAAAATTAAGGCATCAGAGGGCTGCAGGCAATGAAAGCTGGTTATAACTCAAAGTGATTTTAAAACATGTACATAAACAATTAAAAAGCTACCATTTGAACTGTTAAAACATAATAGACTCATGGAAACATGGAATGTGAAGATACCCTTAGAAAAGAGTATAGATTTGATCAATCAGTATAACCATCAATAAATATTCACTGAATTCTCTGCTGGCCCACACTTAGCAACTCTGTAGTTTGTCAGAGGTGGGGGCGGGGGCTGTGTTGGTACCATCTCAGGAGCTCTATTTGTACCAAATATCCCAGGGGATGATTCTGATAAGTCACTAATCACGTTCACACTTATCGGGGTATTTGGCAGGTTCATGACAGCAAAAGGCAGAAAATTTAGGAGAACACTGTCGTGGCACAAAGGACTCTGCAATGAAGCTGTCTGCTTGTTTAACCAGACCTAAGTTAGCCAACAGACAATCTGAGGTAATGCAGGGAGAGGCCCTGAGGACCATGGGGACTACAAAAGCCTGAGGCTAAGCAGTGGGCCAAGATAGACTAGGGAGACAGGATGTTCATCTAAGAACTGAGTTGGAAAAGAGGGTGTGGTTGGGATGGCCAGATACAGACACCTTCCTAGGCAGATCAGAGCATCTACAATATTTGCAAGTGGCCATGTGGGACTGGCCTTGGCCAGTGACACCTGGGCTTGGAGGATAGGCCACCTGTCTTGGACAAGGAGGAGAGTTTTATTTACAGTTATATTAATACCAACTGTGTTCTGGATCCTCAAGACAAACCTCGTCTGGGCCAGACTTACTCAGAAGATGCCACTTTGTATTATTACATCCTATTAGTCATCAGCCTGCCCCCTCAGTCACCGTGGAACCTACAGGCCCCAAAGAAGAAGCTGATTTGAATGCAAATTTGAAAAGTACAGTTTGCTAGGTCTGAAATGAGTGTCTGGTTTCTAGCAACATAAACTGAGAAGTTACATAGGCATATTCAAAACCCAGGCAGTCAAAACAGTGCGGGCCAGTGGATCCTTATGGATACCTCTTCTGCTGAGGGGGCTCAGTGGCAGCCCCAGGTCCCTTCTGCCTCAGCAAACAGCCCCAGGCTTCCAAAGCAAAAGCAGTTTTTTTTAACCTAAAAATCAAGTCAATGAAAAAAAGAGAGAAAAGCTAACATGTCTCCACTAATTGGATACTAACCTTGCCAAAAGGAGTATCCACATATTTTTCACTTCTTCCTTCTAAAATCTCTGGATCATCCAGGCCTGTTCCACCAATTATTCCAATCTAAGGGAGAAAATAAGATCATCACATGGGTCACTTTTCATTAGAAACAAAACACTGTAATTATTTCAACCAAAGTCACTTATATTTATAAACTCTCCTCCATTCTTGTTAAGCGCTACTTAAAAAAATCTGAAAATTACTTTAAAAAAAGCAGATATTTGAAGGCTTTCTATTAAAAAACAACAAAAATAAAATCTCCTATATTCTAGAAATAACCAAAATGTAGAACACTTTTTGGACCTTTATTTCTGACTGAATTATAAATAAGCACAAAATGATATTTTTAGGTTAGAAAATCAAACTTAAAAGTAGGCAAATGTGGTTATTGAAAGTTCTTTCTGACCAGTTTTATTTTCTATGCTAACTGGAATATGGAGAAAAGAATGTTCAAAAAACCTGCTAGAATATAAAATTTTAGGTATCTCATTTGGTGATATCGTCTCATTACCACTGTATTTAAAAAATGAGAAATTTTCTCTGTTATGCCACTAGACTCACAGAGCTGCAAAAAAATGCAGACAGAAGAGACTTCATGAAATTAGCATCAGATATATTTATAAAACCAAGCTGCCACTCATGTCTACAATTCATATATATATATTCAGTGAGCATACAGACAAGGTAAAGAAATCTCATTCTATTCTCTAAGAGTTAATCTGACTTGATGGCTAAAAAGCATAATTAAGAACAATTACAAAGATAAATAAATACTAATTAAGCTGTTAAAACTAAAATTTAAGTATCTAAAGTCTTTAGGAGAATTACCCTAGACTGACTTCCTAAAGGGTAAAATATTTAAATAATGATTGACAGGCTAAAGATATAACATTTTACTAGAAAATTCATGAAAAGTGACCTAAGCATGTTTTTCAATGAAAAGGTTTAAATCTATTGTCACTTGAGTAAAATTTCAATTACATAAAACAAAGGAGCTTCTTGAGCAAAAATTCCAGAGTTAAGAACTAGACATCTGAATTAAGTAATTTTCAGGTCAGTTTACACAAGTTGATTTATATCAACATATAAGAAAAACGTTCTCTCCTTGGTCCTTGTTTTCTGGAAAGAAACCAACAAATCAAGAAAACTGGGGAATTGAGCTTTTACTGAAGAATTCTGCTGGTTTACCAGGATATTTCCTTATGTGACTAAGCTAGTTTTGGTGCCACCTTGTGATATATTACTGAAACCACAAGTTACCTTTTTTTTCCTTCAGTGACACAGGGGACTGAACCCAGGGCCTTCACACTGAGATACAACCTCAGCCATTTATATTTTTTTACTTTGAAACAGGGTCCTGGAAAGTCACTAAATTCCAGGCTGGGCTTGAAATTGTGATCTTCCTGTCTCAGCTGCCTAGAGTGTTGAGACTACGGACTTATACTACCACACTCAGCCCACAGGTTACATATTTTTGTCAACCAAACTATAAGTGAAGATTAACCAATATTATAGTTTTTAAATCAACAGTAGTATTCACTTAGTTAATACATTTAAATCACCTAATCCAATCGAAAAAATTTTTTAAAGAATCACACTGTTTTATGTAATCCTAGCTCCTCCTCTGGCTTGGCTTCTCTATTTCATCCTCCATTTCATGTACCTATCTCTGAAGATCATGGCAAGGCTGTAGCCTGTCCCGCCAATGTCCTTACCCTGGCCCCAGAAATAAACTGGTGACTCTGAAATGACTCTCAGTTTACTCTTCAAGGATTCAGCTACTCAGGAAAACACTGGCATTTTTACTTATGACCACTGTGTTCCTCTGCCACAGCTTCTCAGATTCTGGACCCCCAGGCTTGTACATGTAAAACAAATCCAGTTTCCTTGTGGAACCACCCACCTCAGGTTAGACAAGCTTGCCTGGCATGGAAGCAGCAATTAAGCAGTATTCTGTTGAAATCCAGTGTCCTGTCACCAGAGCAGCCCCAAGCTTCAGTCTATACACCTGGGCTGTACGAGGGTCCTGCATTAGGTAGTCGGTGTTTCAGCCTTCAGCAAGAAACAGGTGGTAGGTACTTGACCTGAAAGCAAGTCCAGGATGGAGGCTCCGGCCTTGGAATCACCTGCAGGCTAGCCCACCCAGCCATCCGACTGGCTGTCCTAGTGGAAACCCACATCATGCACGGGATACAGCAGCAAGTGTAATGACTGAGAAATGTCCTGCCACACCAGGGAACTGGACTTCCACAATTGAGGCCAGCAGAGCCACGATATGGTCAATGTTGCCACCTGCTGGCGGTACAGCAGAGTACAGCTATGATGAAGCACCTAAGCACTGATAGGCCAATTCTGCCCACACCTTGTTGAGCCTCTAAATTCAACAATCAACTCAGTACTTGCCTTGGCAGTAAAGTGACTGTATGAGCAATCACATGCCACAGTTAGCATGTGAAGTGCTACAGAAGCCTTATTTCATTTGATCATCATGGGCACAACCTAGAAGACAGGCACTATGGTATAATACCCATTTTACAAATGAAGAAAGAGAAAAGCACAAAATTTAAGAAATTGGTCTAAGAGCAAATCATAAAGAGCAAAGCCAGGGCAGGAGTCCGGCTCTTTCTTGCTTAACCATTATGAGATACTATCTCCTAATATCCCCTGGAGTCCTTCACGACATCATACTCTATTAGAAGTTTTATTGTCTCTGTGTTAACAACAGCAAGATCAAGCTGTTGACCAAGTCAGACAGCAACCACTGAAGGAGAGTCTGGATATCTGAGTGAACCTTCTCAGAGAAGAGGATTGTTCATTGATAACTTTATTCAGACTCAGGAAACAAAGACAAGACCTTGCCAGCACCAGTCCTCAGTCCCTATAAATTCTAGACTGCTTACGAAATGGCTTCAAAACCTGAAATCAAATTTTTGCACTGATTCTGCACACCCAGTAGTTCATTATATAACTTAAAATTTTTAAATGGGGACAGTCTGGTCAATTGAGGTCACTGCTAGACTTTAACAGTTGGTGGTTCTTCCCACACTTCTCCATGGACAAACCGCCAGGCTAATCTCAAAAAATGAAATCAATGTTTGACTTCATCTGAGGCTATGAAAGCATCTTACTCAAATGGTGGCTTACCTGGCCAGAATGGTTACTTCTAGCAAGGTTGAAAGCTGAAAGGGCACATTCTAACCCCTATGCTGTGCCTACTTTCCCTTGTACCTGGTCCTTGGACACTTCACCTACCCTTCCTTGGTCTCAGGAACCATGACTTTGAAACCCTGCCTCAAGGAGCTTAGTGCTCTATAACGGCATTCTCAAAACACCATAACCCAGAACATCTGAGATTCATTCATGGTAGGGAAATGGGCTGTTCTGAGTACTTCAGGCTCATGATGATATAAGAGAGCCAGAGTTAGAGCCAAGCTCTCAGTTCTGGTTGCCACTGTCAAATCTGGCAAGTGCAGTAAACAAAGCTTCATTATTGGACCAGCCTGGCTCTGAAATTTCCCAAGACTTTGAAAAATCCTGGAAGCCCAGCTCTACGGGGAGACAGTGGCTAAATGTCTCAGTCCGGGAGGCCTGTTCTAAACCTGGAATATGGTCCAAAAGGACAGTTGGTGGCTCCATCTCTGACAAGATAACACCTTTCTGCCATGGCTCCTTTGTAGGAAATGACTATGGACTTAGCTGTTCCCTCTTTACTAGAGTCACATGTTGAAGTTCTAACCTCCTGTACTGAATGTGATTGCATTTGGCAACATGGTTTTTTAAAAGTTAATTAAGGCTAAATGAGGTCATTGGGATGAGCTCTAATCCAGCAAAATTAATGAACTTATAAGAGACTGGAACACAGATATACAGAAGCAAGATTTTTGTGAAGACATATGGAGACCATGGCCATGTTCAAGCCAAGGAGAAAGACCACAGAAGAAACCAACCCCAGTGACACCTTAATCTTGGCCTTCTAGCTACCAGAAGTGTGAGGTAGTAAGTTCCTGTTGCTCATGTTACCAAGGCTACTTGTTACAGCAGCCCTAGTAACCTAATACAGTGACATTATATTTTAGAAGTCTAGACAGCTCCAGGAGATCAGAACATCCATAGCTTTGACTTAGTCCAATAGGTAGACACTCTTTGGATATCACTTCACTTGTGAAATGGCCAACTGTTCTCAAAGTTCAATGTATTTCCAGATCCCAGATTTTGATTAATAAGAAAGGTGTAATTTATTTTAAAGTGCCTCAGGTAATTCTTAAATCACAAATTTCTAAAATCTGGGCTAAGTGTAGTAGGCTGCCTCATGGCCCCTCTGTTCATCAGCTTTCTGTTGCTATGACAAAATAACTGAGAAAATTAACACAAAGAAGGAAAAGTTTATTTTGGCTCAGTTTCAGTCCAGTCATTGGGATCTATCTGTTGCTTTGAGGCTGTGGCAAGGCAGAACTTCATGGTGGGGAACACATGGCAGAACAAAGCTGTTCACTTCATGGCAGCCAGGAAACAGAAAGGAAGACATGAAGTGGCCAGGTCCCAATATCCCTCCAAGGGGATGTCTCCAATGACCTAACTTCCTTCCGCTAGGTCTCACCTACTGAAGGCTCCACCACCTCCCACTAGTGCTTCAGGCTGGTGACCAAAGAATATATGGGCCTTCGAGGGACATTTAAAATCCAAACTATTATAGTCCCCAAAAGAGATCTTACTTACATTCTGATGTCCAGAACTTCTACGTGTTACTTTACATGATTAGATTAAGGATCATGAGGCCAGGGAAATTATCTTGCATTATCTGGATAGACCCTGAATGTAATCATAAGGGTCCTTATAAAAGGGAGGCCAATGGGCTGATGCCTGGTACCAATGAAGGAGAAGGTAATGATGATAGAAATGGAGAGAAAAGGGACTGTGAGTCAAGGTGTGCCAGTGTCTCCAGAGGCTGGAAAAGGCAAGCCAATGGATTCTCCCTGGTTGCTCTAAGAGGAACCAGCCCTACTGACACCTGAGGATAACCTTGACTCATTCTAGACTTCTGGCCTCCAGAATCACAAGAATAC